TAAGTGCCTAGTAGTCATATCCTAAGTGCCTAGTAGTCATATCATATCGCATCTAACTGCCGGGTGCAGAAACTCAGCGTATGCAGGCTGCGTTAAACAAATTGATGTTGTTTCGCAGCATATCCTGGCGTTAGTCTACGGCATGCAACCACTGCTGTGTGCTGACCTACAGTGGGTGGGGGATGGATGGCAGCCGAATGAGGGCAGTGGGGTGCAAAAACTCACAGCGCAGGGGGAAGGGGGTGGGTCACAAACGCAGACGTACACAATCGTAAAGGTCATATGCATTTATAGCTGGCCACTCAGTGCTTCTATATGCAGCAGCTGCTGGAGATGCGTTCACTTCAATGGTAGTGGGAAGCCTTGCTGAGCTTCACAATGAAAGTCTAGTGAGGTGAAAGTTGTGGGTGAGTGAGGGGTAGGAATCCATGTTACATATTAATTTTATAACACCCCGCGACCTAGAATGTCAAATGTGTGTCAGTAGGTACGCATAAAAAATGCTGTCATATGCTGTAGTCACAACACAGTCACATACTTTATGAACATCTGTAGTAGCTAGTACATCTCAAATACATGTATATGTACATTTATTTTGATTATTATTATGTATTTTGCATTTATTTTTATGTATGTATTCTTATTATTATGACCAAAACACAACACTTTCGAGCGTAACTTTGATAGAGTGGTCGAACCACATCCAAACAGTAAAATTTAACTCAATTAATTAAATTTAATTAATTATTTAATTTAACTTAATTAAGCAGCGGGGCGAGCTTACGTGCAGCAGCTGCGAAAACTCGTAGTAGTTGACGCTTCGCATCTTTTCCTCGCCGAAATGATTCTTGACGAAGTTTGTGTCAAAGTTGAACGGGATCTGTTTGTGAAGATCTGTGTGGCTAAAGATCTCTTGAAACTCGCCTGCAAGACGACAACAAAGGATCGCCCATATCGTTAGATTTCACACGCAATCGCTCCGGTGAACCGGTGAACCGGGAAAAATTCCGGTAACAAGTAGGTTTTTCGCAGCCGGTTACCGCGATTTCACACGACAGTGAGTTGGCGTCATGGGAAGGGTTGACTGGGGATCATGGGAGAGAACTGAGGTTGTGGTGGGGTGGGCTTAGGGTCATGGGTAGGGAGGGAGGACTGAGGTTGTGGTGGGGTGGGCTTGGGGTCATGGGTAGGGAGGGAGGACTGAGGTTGTGGTGGGGTGGGCTTGGGGTCATGGGTAGGGAGGGAGGG